AGTATTAGTACATGTCTCTGTAAACAGATACAACATACCGAGAGAACCGACCACGTCGTATCCCCCTCCGTCAACACATCCACGATACGCACAATCACACCATCCCATCCGCTCCCCGACGTCGACGGCTCTTTGGGTTCCGCGAGAACAGAAAACTGCGACGAGTCCAGCCAACTCGGGAGTTCCGTAATACATTGATTTGTGTAGGACTCTGGGGGAGGGGGGGTGTGGTGATACACCGAGAGGCGATCCGCGTCGCCGCATAGGTAGTCTCTGTCCGCGCTACAGGTCATCGCGCAGTCGGTGTCGGGGACTTGAGCTGCTGCACCGGTGGTGTTGCCACACCCTGCGTCGGGAATTGATGAACATCGAAAGTTGGAATGAGCAGTGGCTTGAGGACTTACAGCATTCGCCACCGTATTCAGTGCCCATTACGGTATACCCACCGAACGCGCAAGCATCTGCGCATGAAGCCGGCGTCACCCCACCAAAAGTAGCCTCTTGTGCACTGAGGGTTCTTTGGCTGGGGCTATCCCTGGAAATATTATCACATACACATGAGATTTAAAATAATATCACTCCGCCTGTCGTTGCGGAAATACGTACTCGAAACACCCACTGTAGGACCAATAACTGCGCGCCAGAGTCGCTGGACTGCTGGGTGTGTAGAAATCGCCGTCCCAGTATACGTCGATGCGATTGGGACCGCCGCACGTCTGGGTGGGATCGCCGGTGCACGGCGTGTTGCATTCGCTGGCGGCGGTCCCTTGCCAGCCGTCTTCGTGGAACAGCTCGTCGCAGTCTGCGGAAGGAAGCAGATGAAGTCGAGGTGTTAGTTTTAGTCTATATTCGACGAGGGGGCCTGAGGATTGTGGAGAACTCACAGCATTCACCCCCATCTTCGACACCTGCATACGTCCAGTTGTTCGCAGCGCAGTACTCGATACACACTACCTTCGTCATAGTGCTCGGCCGAAGGCCGCTGTTCGTGGTGAGCAGACGGCCAGCGGATGTATTATCGCTGTGTAGAAAACCAAGCAAGTGTTAGTCAAACCCCTCACGGGGTGAAAGCAAAACAAACTTGAACTCACATGAAACAAGAATAAGGAAACCATCCAGTTGGTATGTCGGTCTGGCGCACGGAGATGCTTGAACCATATACTTGAACAGCAAGAAACTAGACGATGGAATGATGAGAGTGCATGTGTGTACGAGCAGTCCGAGCCTACTAACCCAGAATCCACAGTGCATGAACAACGCAACAAGCAGCCGATAAAATACTTGGAGTAAGTGCATACTAGATCCCGATGAACCAATAGCTTGAGTCCACTGGGGGAGTTTTATACAGGAATTTGAATTTTTCGCTGACTAGGACAGGACCGCCAAGCACTACCTACTAAGACCTACTAAGAGCTAATTTTTTACCCCTGGATGTTTTCGAAAGAATTGAAGACGCACTGAGAAAGGTACGGTAGGGCATGCTGACGCCTACTCCCGGTCTTGGTCTGGTCTGGTCTGGTCTATTCAATGAAGGCATACCAGGAACTGGACGGCGTTGAAGAGATAGATAGATAGATAGACGTAGATGCAGATGCACCGCCAACGCCATGTGAACACTAGTACGTGACACCGAAACTAAGCGTCGAGGGGGGAAGGGGGGGAAAGGGGACATTTGAAGTATATCTTGAATCAGACAGGTTACTCGTACAACTTGTCTCCAGAGATGTCCATCGCAGTTGCCAACGTCCGCGTCAACCTTCAAGTTCAGAATATGATCATTTTTTTACTTTGACACGACCGACAGGGTAGGTAGGGAATTTGAACCTGCCTGGATAGTAGGATAGGATAGGATAGAAATATCAGGCTAGAGCGCCAAGCTCTTCAAAGTCGACGTGCCATGAATGATCAGACGTCAGACAAGGTGATTGAAGGTGCTGACCTTTTTGCCTCTCTATGGACGAAATACCCGAGACGGCTTTGGGCGTCGTCACCAGATAGGCTTACCTACACTCTCCATATCCTAGTACCATGTTCTTGTTGTACGTGGAAATTGGCTGTCTGTACCTTGAAAATGGTTGGCTGTACCTTGAAAATAGCTGTCTGAATAAGCAATACTTTGATGAGAAAAAAGAGCTTGTCGTTGATAATGTCCGATTAGCCTTAACCGGCCGCTTATACCACAATGTCTGCTTGAAATGCCTTCTTCACTCTGAACAGGTAGAAAATGATCACGACATATTCCATATACAGTACACCTCCAACATAAACACGTATTCAACAGGAAGGAAAGAAAGAAAGAAACAAAAAAAAAAAACCAGGAAAAAACCGAGGAATCTCAGAACAGGATATTGCTCAAAACCATCGAGTGGACCTACTGAACCCACACATCGACCGCAACACACTCCTCGACATCATAATCCGCACGCCCCGCCTGAGGCTGCGACACCAGATCCAACCGCCCCTCCGGCACCGCGGAGATGTTCGGGCACATCGCCCATGCGTCGGCGTGGTAATCGCCTTGGAGAACGGGCCCGCCGGTCGGGGAGTAGGTGGTGTTTGGGGGGTATGGGTTTGCCTGGGGAGGGGGAGGTCAGGTGGAGGTGGGGGGGAGTGGTGTGTATTGGGCTTTGAGGGGAGGAGGGGTTAGGGGAAGGGGGGAAAGGGGAAGGGGAAGGGGAAGGAGGGAGACAGAAAACTCACGGTCAAACAAAAGTTGGGATAATCAATACTCGTAATACTCGCCTCAGTCTGGAACCGCACACTCTCTCCTGCGACGAGGTTGAGGCTGAGCATCGGGAGGGCGCCGTCACGAGTGGGAGAAGAGGGAATTAGGTACCCCGCGCCTTCCCCGCTGAAAGAAAGCCCGAGCCAGGAGACGGGGCAGTCTTGACATGCCTATACAAGATATAGTAAGAAAATAACCGTATCATGATTAATCCACAATCCACAATCCACAATCCACAATCCATACCGAAAGCACCGCATACTCCGTCCCCCCCTCCCCCTCCCCCTCCTCCGCCACATCCACAACCCTCAGCTGCGCGCCCTCCCACCCCCCTTCAGCCGTCGGGCCCTCCTTCGGGATCGCGCGGACGGTGAAATTGGAGATGTCCACCCAGGGTGGGACGTCGAGGTCGAGACACGCCCCGGTGTAGGATTCCTGCGGCGGGGGGGTGTGGTGATGGTAGACTGAGAGCCGGGCGGCGTCGCCGCAGAGGTAGAAGCGGTCCGCGGTGCAGGACATGGTGCAGGAGGTGTCGGGGAGTTGGGCGGCGGGGGTGGTGGTGGTGCCACACCCTATCGAATCGAATTGAATCGCATCGAATCGGATATGTACATACGTTAGTTGAAGGGGGGTTGGGGTGAAAATGTTAACATTACATAACAAGTAGAGAGAAGTCGGATGGACGTACAGCATTCGCTCCCGAATTCGGTGCCCATGACGGGATACCCGTAGAACGCGCATGTGTCGGCGCAGCTTGGGGGGGTGACCATACCCGAATCAGGGTATACCTGTTGGGTGAGTGTTCGCTGGGTAGTGTCGTCCCTGTGTACACCATATAGTAAATATCGCCATACTCGAAAAATCATTGGGGGGGGGGTACATACACGAAACACCCGCTATACGACCAATAGCTCTTGTACAAGGTAGGCGGGCTGGAAGGTATACTCGAGTCCCCGTCCCAATACACGTCGATGAGGTTCGGCCCTCCGCAGGTTTGCGAGGGGTCGCCAGTGCACGGCATGTCGCAGTCGCCCGCTGCAGTGACCTGGGAACCAACCTCATGTAGGACTTGATCGCAATCTTCCGAAGCGAAGCAAAATAACTCAGTAAGCTCGAATTGGACAGCAATGGGGTGTACATAGGAAAAAAAATCTGTTTATCCACATACAACATTCGCTCGCGTACTCGACGCCTGCGTACGCCCAGTTGTTGGAGGAACAATACTCGATACATGCGGGTACGGTCATCGTATCGGGTGCGAGCCCGCTGTTGATGGTGAGCAGCCGGCCGGCTGCGGTGTTGTCGCTGTTTATGAATATGTCTCATGAATGAGTACTCGTAGGGAGGGGGATGAAGAGAAACCACGGTGGGGATGTTACATGAAGCATGCGTTGAAAGCCCATCCGGTTGGAATAGGAATAGTCTGGCGGGATATCATTGGGGAGGTTTTGACTGGAGTGAGCTATGTATTGGATCGATGGTAAGTCCGTGAAATCAAGGGAATAATAGTTCATGCTCACCCATGATTGACTCGGAGCAAGTATGAAGAAGAAGATAGTGATCATGACAGAACGAGAAATAAGGAGTATCATCCTGGAGCGTCGTAGCTCTTGGACGGATCCCGAGAGGAGTCGTATATATAGCGAGATAGCTTGGGGTCCCGATGCATCATCCAGGCGTTTGAAGAATCACTTGACTGGTTCTAATCCATCGAATTTCAGTGTACTGAGTAGCCAGGAACTCCGAATGATAATGTTGAAGAGTCTTGAATCATCCATCATCATCATACACCGCAGATACACCGCGAGATGTCAAACCCAAGGGGATTATTTGCTTGATGGGTCTTTTTCGACATTCTGGTGCATATCTCTGATGGAATGTAGCCTGGATGTAGCAGCTGAGCAGGATCGGATGGGGTTACAGGGACGTATGTATTTCTTGAACAATGGATATCATGAAAGCGATGTGTGGGGAGTAGGATGAATAGAGTTTCCGCGGCACGTATGACACCCCCTTGAAGACCGTTGAATAAGGGAAATGTCGAGAGTCATTGTCAGATGGGAAGTTGGCAAGTGGGACGTGATGCATTGGTGAACGGTTCAGGTACGATTAGAATTTGGGAGTTTGACGCCTTTTAGATCTTGAAGCACTCAGTAGTGTTCGGGTACCAGATCTGGTTGATTTGCGTGTCGAAATTCTCCCTTTGACGGCGGCTAGACGTGTCGAAAGAAAGAAAGGAACGGTTATATCACATGATCTTTCACGCGTTTCTATTGGCCGCCTGGCGAAATGGCATCGCGTCTGACTACGATAAAATCAGTGAGTGGCGGAATTCAGTAATCAGGAGATTGCAGGTTCGACCCCTGCGGTGGTCACTGTTTGCATAAAAGCTATGTTTTTTTTTCCGGCACGGTTGGTTGACTTGTGTTTGTTTTTCTCTGTTTCTGTTTCTCTTTCAAGTTTCCTCAGTTGTAATCGAGTCGTGTGTTGTTACTACTAAGTAGCTAGTTATTTCTCAATATACTTGGTAACTGGTACAGTTTACCCAACTAAACTAAACTTCTCAACTAGATTAACACATCAGTGAATCCCCAACCTAACGCACCACCAGCGAACCCTGCACCACCTTCCCATTCCTATCAATCTTAAACACACACTCCCCGGGATGACATCTCCCTATCCCTCTCAATCTCACCTCAATCACCCCATACTGCACCACCCTTCCCCGAGCCCCGGCGCCCCCGCCTAGCACACCCTCATTCCCCTCAAACAAATTCGAAAACGCCAAAACCCCACCCCCACCACCACCACCACCATCACCGCCCCACCCAGGTACCACCTCCCGCACGGCGTTGCGCACGCGGGTGTACACGTCGCGGGGGATGTGTCCCTGCTCGTACGCGGTGGAGATTTTCGGGGTCTCGTGGGGGAGGAGCGGGACGCCGCTGTGGGTGCCGAGGAAGGTTATGGTCCCCGTGGCGGTGCCTGTGGTGGGGTCCGTGGGGGGTTGGGAGGGGGTGAGGGAGACTGCGCGGGGGATGGGAGGTGTAGGTGCGGTGGATGTCTGGGTAAGAAGGGGGGACGTGAGTTATCGATTGTATTACATGGGAAGATTTGGACGAACCTCGAATGGTAAAGTATACGCGGTAGATGCAAGACATACGACGATGAGGAAGAGGGTGTTGAATTCCAAACGCATGATTGCTTTCTAAAAAACTACGTGTTCGTGTTTTGTGTTCGTGTTTTGTCTTCTGTGTTTTGTGGTCTTGGTTTCGGTTTTTGTCTTCTGGTTTTCTCAAACTCAAACTGACCAGCAGTGAGTTCCTTTGTCTATGGAGGGTGGTGAGGGGATAGAAAGACGATCTCTTTTATTTCGGTATTTTTCTATTTATATATAATTTACAATTCCGAGGCGATGTGTACATCCCTTAGGGGGTTTCATAGCGTTTCATCTATCGGTGAAATTGGAAAATCAACTACATAATAACTGCCCCCCCTTTGGACTTGACCGTACGCCTACGCCGGAAGTTGATGAATCCTCACGAGGATGGATATAGCGGATTGGAAGGTTTTTTTTGGTTTTCCTGTGACGGTTTCGTCGTAGTACATATACTGATATATACTGATAGTTCTGGAATGGAATGGGATGGGATGGAGGGTGACGTGGGAGTGGTTCAGCGTAGCCGTTCATGGCATGGAACCCTTGATAAGTATACGCGAACGCGTCGGAGACCCGTCGGAGGATGTAGGAATGAAACGTGTAGTAGTCGGTAGTCGGGAACCCCCCCGCCGCCGTCGCTGTGTGCCATACGACGACGGATCGTTGTAAGTACTCAACGTAACCCAGCACGGGTGTTCCACCAGGGCAAGTACGATACCACAGAATGAGCGGTGTACGATCTACATACTACGATTGTACATGAACATATAAACAACAGTCAACGTCTTCTTCCCCCCCTCATTCCGAGTCAGACTCGGAGTCGTGAGGAAACTACACAGGTCCGCATTGTTAAACCAATAGATTTATGCACCAGGGGAGAGTGTACACAACTCACCTCCATCGACCCCGCAACAATCTTCCCCTTTTTATCAACCTTAAACCAACACCCATTCAGACATTTCCCGATCCCGAATAAGGCCACTTTGAATACATCATCTTCACGCGCCGAAGCCTTGAAGCAATTCTTAAATGCAAGAACCACCTGATTTCTGTCCTGAGACGGGACGAGGGATTCTACTGCTTTCCGGAGTCGGTCGAAGACCTTTGGTGTCTCGATGATCCCATGTTCATTTGCATCTATGCTAGACGAAAGCACGAGTCCGGTTGGAGGCGCATAGGATATCGCGGCGCCGTAATGCTCTTCGACGAAGTTGAGGGTTGTAGGAGATGTGGTTCGGTATTTGCACGGGCAACTTGGAGATGCGGAGTGGAGGAGGAGTCGGGCTAGAAGATAGTGAGAACTTAGAACTCTCTCTACTAGATGTGGGTGTGTGGAAGCCCCTCACGCACCTGAAAAGGCATAGCATACCCGACTGTGAATACTACACCAACACACAACACGAGATAGTAAACACGGAAGTTGATCAAGTGCATTTGTTTTTTTTTTTGTTGTTTCGAACCTTGCGGGAAAAAAGAAGAAAGAAACTCAGGATTAGATGTTATATGTTTGTGTAGAGTTATGAAAGATGGCTTGGTTTGACATACGATACGTGGGTTGGATGGAGTTCAGTGCAAGGAGGGGGGATAATGAACGGAGGAGGGTTTTTGACCAGAAAACAACGGGGAGTTTCTTTTTTTTGGACTGACCAGCAGTCTCGGGGGGAATGAATGCTGCTGAAGGACCCGTGTGGATCTTTATATAACGTACTGTTTAACCCTCAGGGACGGCGTTTGTGATGATATCAAAAGATTTTGCTGATCATCGGAATTTCCGACGGATTTGCATCCACCTTCCTCATTCGAACACCTGAGGGTTGACGACCTAGGGCGACGGAGTGTACCCGAACTGATAGGTAGAATGTTTATATGATAAATTGGTTTTGGTTTTGGTTTTTGTATGGTGTTACAGCGTAACCACAAGCATCCGAGTTGGTGAAATATGTGGCGCATTGTCCAATGGATACCGGAACCCAACTGAGTGGTTCCCTCTCATGATGAAATCAAGTGTTCACTTACAAGCCTTGCCAGCTTGCCCGAAGGTTAGTTACCATAACCTTAATTCCTGCGTTTTTCAAGCCAAAAGAAATACCTAGCCTGTCTCCTGGATTCCAATGGAAGTTGCTGCCAAAGTCTTTGCAGAACTCACATTTGGTAGTGATCACCTACAACATCAAGTTTTTCACCTCGCACATCCTCGCCCCATTTTGTTTGATACTCTTATTGTGTCCGCAGCCTTTCATTTGAAACTTCCGCTCATCCCTTACACAGATTGGTTCCAGCTCTTGAAGAGTGAAGCTGAAGTTGTAAACTCGGACTCTTCATTGCTGGAACGTATTTCTGCCTGGAAGATTTCAACCTTCTTTGAATATGCAAACCTGGACTCTGGCACTGAAGCAATGGGCTTGACATTGATGGATTTGAGTAGGGCAAAGCTTGTATCCAAAACATTGGGAAGCCCTGACCTTGAACAGCTTACTGCAGCTGATGTTGTGAAGTGGCTAAAGTATTGGAAATCAGTAGACTTTATGTAAATCATCAGTCAAAAACTGAACATAATGTGTGGTGACCTTGCAGAGCAATATATGGATTTGAATATCTGAGTATTTATGAATATTTGTTTAACTTTGAAGTACCAAAATGACATGCTCCTCAAGCCTTCCACCACCTGTCAATCCCACCTGACACCTTATATAGAAGGATTGATAGTTTGTGTACAAGGCAATTAAACATCAGTAAATGATTGAGGTTTCTCTGTGATATCTGTAAGTCAGTAGTCCAGAAAGAATCTTCATATATACACGCAATATCAGGAATCCACTCGGGTTTTCATCAATATTTTGTATTTTTGCCAGTGCAATACTCATTCAGTGAATGTCAAACTTTGGATACCAATCTCCGAAATGGTTTCTGATCTGAGATACTTTGCTACCCATGGGAGTGTTTTATATCCTAATAAGCACGTGCACTCATATTCAATTCCAGGTTTTGTTCATAAACCTAATACATATGTCATGAGGAAGAGGGTGTTGGGTTTGAAGAAACACATGTTTTTGATGAGAGAACTGGCCAGCGGAGAGCCGCCGTCACTGTGGACAAGCCGGATCCATGGGGTGAAATGATAGGACGGAGGAAGAGGGCCTGGAAGGGCAAAGGATGAAACAAAAAGGCCTGGAGCGAGATGTGATGTGATCACTGATATGTGGGGTTCAATTGGAACTTGCCGACCAATTCATGGGACGTCAAGGCATCACTGTTGAGTGAGACGGCTGAACTGTAGGGCAAGGAAATAGTGTATGTAACAATGGGGGAGGCCAATGGGGGGTGGGGCGTAAACGTTCAAACCCTCAGATTGTCGTGTCACCACCATCATCTCTCCGGTGCTTACCAGTTTTTTTTTGTTGTCCTCGCCTCCTCAAAACACTATATATACACTCATATTACTACATATCACACTCGTCTACTGTACAATACTCGCATACAAGCCAGCATCCAACTCCTGCAGTACCCCCTGGTATTGAGCAAGTCCCAACAGTGCGATTCACTTTCAAAACTCTGGACACTCTCCCCACCCTCTCTTCTACCCCCCTCCTCATCCCGCGCCTTCTCCTCTCAATTCCATGACTGCTTTGCAGAAGCAGGCAGCCTCATAGTGTCTGGGCCTATTGCAAAAGGGGTGTCCTCCTCTAAGCTACCATTGAAGCTACCGGAATGGCTAGCTGGGCAAGATGGTTGTTTCGCCTCTGCTCAGAAAGGGAAATAAAAAGGTGCTGATGGCCATTCAGAAGGAATCCTCATCCCTGACCTTCTGTATCCCCCTGATTTCAGATTGGACAGACATCCACCCAAAGAAAAGGCAGGGGATCAGGACATTCACATCGAGTGCAACTTCATCCATTTACACCAGCCTAGACCAATCCACAACTTTTCAGCAGCTGTGAACAAACTTCCATCAGATTTCACCACACTCCTCGATGACTTCAACCACAGCTCACAACTTTTGCTCCCACCTCTGCTACCTCCCTCTGCTGCTCCTGCCCCACCTTCTGCACCTACTACCCCCCTCTCTGCCCTGACACCCGAGGTCCAGGATTCAATTCCCAATGTCACCCAAAATCGGAACATGCACTGAATCTAATCTCTCACATCATGGACAGTAAATCACCGGTATCATCATCCGGGTTCTCATTGTCAGAGTAGTCACTAGTGGCAGCCGGG